TAACTTCAGGTCTTAAATTTAAGTATGTAATGTAACTGAAGTAAATTTTTGTATATGGTTAGAGATAGTGATCTAATTTTATTGTTTATGGCCAACCAGCTTTCCCAGCACCATTTATGAAGAAGGTGTCCTTCCTGCAAGGTATGTTCTTGTCATCTTTGTCAAAGATCATTTGGCTGGAGGTGTGTGTCTTTATGTCTGGGTCCTCTGTTCTTTTTCACTAATCTATGTGTCTATTTTTATATCAGTATCATGCTGTTTTCTTATCTACAGCCTGTAGTATAATTTGAAGCCAAGTAATGTGATGCCTGCAACTTTGTTCCTTTTTTTTTTTTTTTTTTTTTTTAGGATTTCTTTGTCTATGTGAGCTTTTTTTGGTTCCATAGGAATATTAGGATTTTCTTTTCTAATTCTGTGGAAAAAGATGTTGATACTTTGATTGGAATTACATTAAATCTGTAGATTGCTTTGTGCAGTGCATTCATTTTAACAATATTAATTCTTCTAATCCACGAACATAGAATTATTTTTCTATTTGTTTGTGTCATCTATAATTTATTTCATCAGTGCTTTGTAGTTTTCTTGTAAAGATCTATCATCTCCTTGGTTTAATATACTCCTAGGTACTTTTTAAGCTTTTGTAAATGGAATTGACTTTGGAATTTTGTTCTCAGCTTGAATGTTATTGGTGTATAGAAATGCTATTAATCTTTATTACTTTTTTTAAAAAAAATAGTTTTTATTTTAGACACAGAGTGCACATTGTTACCTGGGTATATTGGACCCAGGTAGTGAGCATAATACTCAATAGGTAGTTTTTCAACTATTGTTCCCATGTTCATGAATATATGTGCTCAGTGTTTAGCTCTCACATGTGAGAAAATCATTATTAAGTTTTTTGTTCCTACATTAATTTGCTTAGAATAATGGCTTCCAGCTCCATCCATGTTGCTGCAAAACATTTGGTTTCATTTTTATTATGGTTTCTTAGTATTCCGTGGTTTATATGTAACACATTTTCTTTAGCCACAGCACCAGTAATGGGCTCCTCAGTTGATTCTGTCTTCACTATGGTGAACAGCACAGTGATGAAAATATGAGTGTTTGTGTATTTTTGGTATAATGAGCTATATTTCTTGGGAGATATAGATAGATAGATAGATAGATAGATAGATAGATAGATAGATAGATAGATCCAGTAATAGGACCACGAGGTTAAATGGTAGCTCTGTTTAAAGAAAGCTGTCTCTCTTTGCAGATGATATGATTCTATACCTAAAGATGCTACCAAAAGGCTACCAGAACTAATAAGACATTTTATCAGTGCTACAAAAATCAGTAGCATTTCTATATACAAATAATGTTCAAGCTGAGAATCAAATCAACAACACATCCCAACTACAATTACCACAAAGAAAATGAAATACTTAGGAATACAAATAACCAAGGAGGAGAAAAATGTCTACAGTAAGAATTACAAAGCAACATGGAAGAAAATCAGAAGCCAAACAAATATGTGAAAAAACATCCTATGCTCTCATGCTAATGGATTGAAAAAATCAGTATCATCAAAATGACCTGCTTCTCAAAGCAATTTATAGATTCAACATTATTCCTATCAAACTACAAATGTCATTTCTCATAGAATTGGAAAAGAAAACTGTCCTAAAATTCATATGAAATCAAAAAAGAACCCAAAGAGAAAAAGCAGTCCTAAGCAACAAGAACAAAGCTGGAGGCATCACACTACTTGACCTCAAATTATGCTATGAGGCTAAGGTAACCAAAACAGCATGATACTGGTATAAAAACAGATACATAGGCCAATGGAACAAAAAAGAAAACTCAGAAACAAAGCTTTCATGTACAACCATCTGATTTTTGACAGAGCCAATGAAAACAAGGAGTGGGGAAAGCACTTTTCAAAAGAAGGCGTAAAAGCAGTCAACAAATATATGAAAAATGTTCAGCTTTACTAATTATCAGAGAAAGCAAATCAAAACCACAATGTGATACCATCTCACATCAGTCAAAATGGCCATTATTCAAAAATCGAAAACCTGGTGAGGCTTCAGAGAAAAGGGAATGCTTATACACTGTTGGTGGGAATTTAAATTCGTTCAGCCACTGTGGAAAGATTTCCCAAGGAACTCCTGATCTTTGTACATTAATTTTCTATCCTGAAACCTTACTGAATTTATTTACCAAATCTAGGAGTATTTTGGAAGAGTTGTTAAAATTTTCTAAACATAAGATTATATTATTAACAAACAGATAATTTGACTTCTTCTTTTCCAATTTGGATGCCTTTATTTCTTTCTTTTTCTTATTTTCTATGGCTAGGGAGTCCAGTAGTATGTTGAAAGAAGCAATAAAAGTGGGCATCTTGTCTTGTTCTGGTTGGTAGGGAGAATGTTTTCAACTCTTACCTATTCAATATGATGTCAGCTGTGGGTTTGTTAATATGGATCTTACTATTTTGAGGAAGGTTCCTGCAATGTCAAATAGGTTTTGAAATATGTTTAAAGTTTTTATCTTGAAGTAACACTGAATTTTATGTAATATTCTATGCATCAATTGAGATGATTATACTTTTTTGTTTTTAATTCTGCTTATGTGTTGAATCACACTTATTAATTTGTGTATGTTGAGTCATCCTTGCATCCCTGGAATAAAATCTAGAAAAAGTTTTGCTTATCACTATTTAGAAGGTACTGGTTCAGTCAATATGTTCAAACTGATATGTCAAATGAGTCAATCCATGCTGATCAATTAAATTGACTTCTACCATTTTCTTTTTTTTTCTTTTTTTTTTTTTTTTTTTTTTTTTTTTGAGATGGAGTTTCACTCTTGTTACCCAGGCTGGAGTGCAATGGCGTGATCTCGGCTCACTGCAACCTCCGCCTCCCAGGTTCAGGCAATTCTCCTGCCTCAGCCTCCTGAGTAGCTGGGACTACAGGCACATGCCACCATGTCCAGCTAATTTTTTGTATTTTCAGTAGAGACGGGGTTTCACCATGTTGACCAGGATGGTCTCGATCTCTTGACCTCGTGATCCACCCGCCTTGGCCTCCCAAAGTGCTGGGATTACAGGCTTGAGCCACCGTGCCCAGCCCCATTTTCTTTTTATGAACATATAAACACAAACACACACACAAAATTTTTAAATGATTAAAACTATTTATCCAGAGACAGGAAGACAAACCAAACCCAGGAAATATAGAAACAAACAAACAAACAAAAATGAACATATTGTGTTTACCTGTGAGATTTCTCTGAATGTGATTGTAAAAGAATATGTGTCTACCAATTCACTCTTGTAATCCTCTTAAATTTCATCCAGAATATCTCACTTTCTCTCTACCCATATTCCTTGATATTCCTTCTCTCCTCCCTAGTTCCTGCTACTCACTCAGTCCTGAGTGTTTTATGTTTCAAAATTTTTCTGGCCCTACCTTGTCTACTGAGACATCTTTAGAATACATTCAACTATTTGCCATGGTCTGAAAATCTTCTCCATGAAAGAAACCATCAAATACTTCACAGCCTTCCCACCTAAATTCTACCAGTAAACACCTGCCCAGATGCAGTGCTGTGGCCCTGAGGAGGAAAGATTTATATGACAAGTAGAACCTCAGCTGAAGCCAAGAGAGGGAGATACTCCATGTCATCACTCCCTGGAATCCCCCATTAAAAAGCGGTAGAATCTGGTCCTAAACCCTTGATTTCCACACAGCACATTCTGCTCCTATCTGACCTGAGGGCGGCTTTCTATAGGAGATTATTGAATCACAGCTAAATTTAAGTGTATTTGCTTTATAGTCTCAACATGCCATTTGCTGTGGTCTACTGCCTAACCCTGTATCTTAACTGTGTAAATGGCAGACAGAGCAGCAATAAAAAAAATTATATTCAAAGTGTTCCTGTAATAATCTTCCTCCAAATTTTTTAGGGATTATGAATTTCATTATGAATAACAATGTTAATAACCACAAAATTTCCAAATTCCCTGAAGAAACAACATACGTCTCAACACTAGTTTAGGAACAACTTATTATTATTTCTTTTTTCCCAATGTATATAAGTACTTAAAGACAATACACTGTGTCTTCGAATGTTCCTAGTGCACATAAATCCACACATGAAACATGGTAGAAGTACGTATATGCACACACATCTATATTCATATATGTATAATTATATTGTGTAAATATTATGTAAATGAGTGAGCAAATAAATGAATAAAATATTTATGAATGTATATGTCATGCCTTTGCTGCATTATTTCCTTTTTCCTTCACTTTAATGTCTAATTTGATGACTATGCTTGCATCTCTATGTGCATAAAGGAAATAACAGTAACTATTAAATAAGATTATGGTGAGCACAATATGAGTATATTCACGCATAATATACCTATCAAAATCTATTATCTATATACTGCATTTATGGTAAGTTAACATTATTATGGAATAAACTATTATTATTATTTTAAGAATTCTAGAAGCCACTTACACTGTTTATCTTTTTAAAGTAAGAATTTTATTCTGTATTCTGTTATTTCTTAAACATGCTAAAGAAAAGTATAAAGCAATCTATTTGGCTTAAATTACTACTTCCTGTTAAAAATAGAGTGGAGCATGGGGAGAAATGACAGATACAGGTGAGGGGACGGAAGGCAGCAAGCCACACTGCCATGTGTGTACCTATGCAACAATCTTGCATGTTCTTCACATGTACCCCAAAACCTAAAATGCAATTAAAAAATAAATAAATAAATAAATAAATAAATGGAGTTTGAATAAATCACTTATCTTTTCCAAACATTAGTATATTAAACACAAGAGTAAAAAAAACTAATACATGCTTTATAAAACTGCCTTGAGGATCCAGCAATAGAAATAAAAGAACTTGGAAAAAAAGAGTTCAATTAGTTTAAAATTCTCATTATTAACATTTAAGTCAAAACCTTCAGTTAACAGATAAATAATGTTATTGGCTACAACATTCCCTTCTGTTTTTCTGCTTTCTGCTAGGTTGAAGTGACAGACTCTCCAACCTCCAACTGGTTAGTGATAGGTCTTGAGGAAAATCAGAACTCTCTCCCAAATCTGCTTAGTCCTGACTCCATAGATTACAGGATTGAGGGCTGGTGGAACAATCACATATAGATTAGCCAAGAAAATGTGGATATTCTGTGGGATGTTATGGCCAAAACGGTGTGTAAAGAAAGAGAAAAATGCTGGTGTGAAAAAGGCTAAGATAACACCAATATGAGAACTACAGGTGTTGAAAGCTTTCCATCGAGCTTCCCAGAAGGGAAGGCAGAAGACTGCATAGAGGATCCTGACATAGGAGAGAATAATAAGGATCACATCTAATAACAAGAGAGAAATGTTGCCAAGGCCAAACATAATGTTGACTTTGATGCTGGCACAGGCCAGACGGGCAATGCCCATGTGCTCACAGTAAGTATGAGGGATGATATGGTGTCCACAGAAGGGCAGTTTCAGAAGGAGAAACACCAGTGGAACAATCATGCACAGGCTCCTCAGGACAGCAATGCCTGCAATGAGGCTGATGACTTTGCTGGTGAGGATCATGGTGTATCGAAGGGGATTGCAAATGGCAATGTAGCGGTCAAAGGCCATGGCCACCAACACAATGCTCTCCATGACAGTGAAGAAATGGATGAAGAACATCTGAGAAAGGCAGCCTCCAAAAGATATTTCCTTGAGGCTGAACCAGAAGATGCCCAGCATTCTGGGGATGGTGGCTGTGGATAAGCCCAGGTCAATTGAATCCAACATGGCCAGAAAGTAGTACATGGGCTCATGGAGACTCTGCTCAGTCTGGATCACAAACAAGACAGCAGCGTTTCCCAGGAGTGCAACGAGATACACGAAGAAAAAAGGGATTCCAATCCAGATGTGCACATCTTCTAGCCCTGGGATGCCCAGCAGTAGGAATGAAGAAGGATGGAACTGGGTGTCATTAGGCATAGACATTCTTCCTGCCATATAAAGCTGCTGGGCACACCAGTGATGACTATAATATTCCTATTAGTAATTCTTGTTCCACTTCTTTTGTTCAGATTTCTAGTCAAATTCACAATAACATATTAATCTTTCTTTATATCTATTTGTGAATAAGATAAAACACTCTCTACAGTTTCTACTAGCCACTCCTGAGCAACACTGGCACCTGGAATAGAACCAGCCTCATTCTACTGCCCCTTTACCTAATATAAAAAACTAATATAAAAAGAGAAGCAGAAGAATGTCATCTGCCAAATGAAAATGCAATACCTGGAGTTTAGCCAGAATTAAATGAGAAAAATAAAGTTCCAGGGTCAGTGTCTATAGTAATGTTACACATATTTTTGCTTCATGATCATGGTATTTGTAATCTCAACTATTCCTCTGTTTGAGAACCAAAGACGTAGTGTGTATAATCCTGTTTCTGTGTTGCTATGCATTTTTACAAGTACTTGTGACTACTAGACTGTATACTTCTGAGAGTAGAAGAAATGACTTATCTTTGTTCATATGCATGAAAAAGATCTGCTACATAATAATTCTCAATTTAAAACCTCCACAAATAGATACATTGATTAAAAGGAGGTGAAACAGCAGGTAACTTTAATGTCATATTTTAGAAAATAAATAATTTACTTTCCATCACACCTGTGTTTGAGAAAAGAAGCTTATCCATTGGATTTGGAAAATGAATTAAAACAAGGAGAAGAAAATACTCGACAAAGAGTATTTTGTAGCTATGATGGAACATGAATGAAGAGATAATTTTAATCTAGATAAGCCTATTACTTGGAGAGTGCATAAATACACACATTCGGTAAAAAAACTGTTCATACATAGACCAGCTTTTTTGTGGCAAGGAAATGAAATATTCTGGGCTATGAAATTTTCAAATATATCTCAGTCTTATATTCATGGGAAGCACTTTAGATGCCCTACAGTTTAGTTGCTACTCAAATTCTATCCCAGCTGTTACGTCTTTATGAATGTCTCCATTATAGTAAACTCAAAATTTGAAGCAAAAAGTTCATTACTCTTCCATTTATTTTGGAGAAACTCGTTTTCAGTTAATGTGGAATTGGTTAAATGTGACGTGGCAATTGGAATCAATAGCATTGATTCCAATCTAAGAATACTTGAACGTTGGGGAAGTCAGAATTGAGAGGTACACAGCAGAGGTAAAAGTGTGTGAATGTTCTACTTTAATCCTGGGACAACAAAATGCCTTGCTGGTGGTGCCTGTTTGAAGCACATGAAGAAAAGCAAAAATGAGAGATAATTTGATAATTTGGAAAATTATTTCAGAAAGAGAGAAAGTGAGTGTGTGTGTGTGTGTGTGTGTGTGTGTGTGTGTGTGTGTGTAAACTTGGGTGAAACTATCAGAGATAAGTGTATAAGTTTCCTATTTTTCACTAATTGAGAATACACAAGATAGGTAGAGAAATACCTTTCACAATTTATCCCATCAAATATTGAACAAGTTCTCTATGTATCAGTGGTGATCAGGAAGTTTGAATACAAGACAGAACACATCTGGTCACATTTTTCTTAAGGCACCACGTAGTAAAGAAGATAACATTCCAAACATGAAACTTAAGAACTGTGCCGCAAGTGCTATGGTAGAAACGTGCAGGATGTTTTAAACGTAGAGGTGAGTCAAGAAAAATTCTATAAAGGAAGTTAGGCTTATGCTGACTTACAGAGAAATTCTTCTGACAAAAAAGAAAATTTTATTCTATATAAATGAGCATGGACAAAGCAGGAAAAAAGGAAGCACAGTGGCCATTTAGGATATAAAAATGAAATCAGTCATTCTCTTAAATGTGCTTATCCAAAGATTCTTAGTAAGTCTGATGTCTTGGTCATGTTTAGGGGTTCCTTACAGCATAAGCTGAAAAAATGAAAATACGGCTACATTCCAAGGATATCAACTTATCTCACGTATCTCTGTGGATTTTAAAAGAAGACTTGGAAATTAATGCTTCCCTTCTCTCTAGGACAAGATCATATCCAAGTTTATAAACACTGAACAAAGCAACCAATCAATCAATTAATCAGTAAATCTTTACTTACCCACTATTTCAACATATATTTATATATCTTCCAATGGCAGCTGGATTTAAAAATAAAACTGGGTCTCAGCTCCTCTTTTGACACCCAAATTCTAAGGTGCTACATGGGATTATATCCAGCTATCCAGAATCCATGTTCTCAATGTGTCATCCTCTTAAACTACCCTGTTTCACCAACCTCCACCACACCTTACATATCCATATTCCCACATCCTGGAACAGATGAGCAAAAGGAAAAGAGATAAGCTACCTCTTTTTTCCCATCTTTATCTAATCTTACAGTCTCATGACCAGTCTGCTACCATGTAACCTTATTCCATTTCTCAGATATTTTACTACTCTAGCTCTGAGTCTATGTTCATAAAAGTCTATTCCTCAGGGCCATGCTTTTTCCTTATTCATTTATTTATAATTTAATTAATTTTAAAACATTTTTAAAATTTGTCTTTATTTTTAATTTTTGTGAGTATGTAAGTATATATTTATGGTGTACATGAGATGTATTGATACAAGAATGCAATGTGAAATAAGCACATCATGGGAAATGGGGTATCCATCCCTTTAAGCATTTATCCGTTGAGCTACAAGCAATCCAATTACATTCTTAGTTATTTTAAAATGTATAACTATTACTGACTATAGTCACCTGTTGTGCTATCAAATACTAGGTCTTATTTACTCTTTCTATTTTTTGTACTCATTAACTATCCCCACCTCCCTGCAGTTCCCCACTACCATTCCCAGCTTCTGGTAACCATCCTTCTATCTTCATCTCTGCTACATCTTGTATGTTCTAGAAAACATAGAGAGATAGTCTTTGTTCTCTAGCTGTTCACATGTCACACACACACACACACACACACACACACACACACACACACACACATATATATATATATATATACAGAAGCAGAAACAATAGCTGAAGAGGTATGGGATATGTTGGCACAATTTCTTCATCAGCTTACACACTTTACTTTTGGATCTCAGACTTTGCATGGTCATAGGTGCGTGTAGGTAAAAATACAGTTTGGAAAGTTTACGAATATGAGTGTGTATTCACTCTTCATCCTGTTATCATACTTTCACCTTTCCTGCATCTACTAGCTTGCCATAAGCTCTTTCTCAATCCCTCTTGATATTCTCCAAAGCCTAACCATGATATAACTTACCTTAGTCTAAAAATCACTACAAAACATCCCTTGGCATATTCTTTGAGCACACCATTTATTATGCCTATAGAAGATATTTATATTGTTCTTGTAGCCCCACTTCCCCTGGGATGGGTATCATAGCATCTTGGAGATGTTGATGTAGTATAGTTAATAGACTCCGGAGAATTACTCTTCTCAATCTCTTCTTCCTTATACTGAAATAATAGGGCAAGGGTTTATCACTGTTCTCTTGTTTTTCCCAAATTTTATATTTATTTACTGACACTAATAGAATAGTTTTACTTTCTCACTTCAAAATTAAATTGCTAAACTCTTGGTAAATGCTTAGGATTTTTTTCTTTATCCTTCTATCCCATCTTCTTCAACTCAGTTCCCTGACTCTCTCTCATCTTCAGATTTCTCTTTCTAGTCCTAATACAATATTGTATTTTCTCATTTTAAGACCTCTTTGATAGAATATCTCGTGTAGTCAATATCTAGTGATCTATCCCATTGTACTTTTCTTTATCAATTCGTCCACCAATGGACATTTTATGACAACTCTCTGGAAATTTCTACTATGGTGTGCATATCTATTTGACATCACTCAAACAAAGCTTACTCATTGTGAACAAGATTTTTGCTGGGCTATGAGTCAAATATAATCAGCAGAAATTGTTTAACATCACAGATTTCTGAAGCAGGAATAACTGTGGGAACTAACAAAGGCTATTCAAAAAACTCAAAAGAAAATATTGGGGAATGAATTGATCATAGGGGATTTTTCAAAGCTCTGAAATGTTCCCTAGAAGCTAAAACACAAACACACACATGTACATCATTCTGAAAATGTCCAGAAAGGACCTGAGAATGCCCTAATCTTTCACCTATAGTAAAATATTAAAATATAGAATGTGGGTTATTGTACAAGAAAATATCTGGTACATCCAAGATGTTATTTTCACAAACAGACACACATACACAGACATAGACATAGTGGGATTTTTGTTATGTTGTAGAATATACGCATTTTAATAACAAAACCAGAAAATTCCTGATATAAAGGGCATTTATGAAAAAATCCATGGCTTACATCCTACTCAATGGTGAATACTGAAAGGAATAATTAAACTTTCCCCCTGAGATCATTAATAAGACAAGGACGCTTGCTTTTATGACTACCATTTAACATTGTACTGGTACAACAATTAGCCAGAGCAATTAGCCAGAGCAATTAGCCAAGAAAAAGAAATAAAAATTATTCAAATTTTAAAGGAAAGGGTAAATTACCTCTATTTGCAAACAATGTTAATATTACATATAGAAAATCATAAAGAATCCACAAAAAACTATTAGAGCTGATAAATGCAGCAAATTTGCACATTTGCACAACACAAAAGCAATACTCAATCAGTTGTGTTTTGCTGAACACTCCTCAAGAAAATTAATGAAAGTCTAAATAAATAAAAAATACTTTATGTTCATGGATTGGGAGATTTAATACTGTTAAGGTGGTCATTTTCACAAACGTTATCTATAAATCATGTGCAATTCCTATTAAAATCTCAGTGTCCTCTTTTGCAGAATGGAGAAAGATAAAACTAAAATGCACATAGAAGAGCAAAGGCCCTTGAATAGCCAAAACATTTAAAAATAAAAAAAAACAAAGTTAAGTGATTCACATTTTCTTATTTTAAAACTTACTACAAAGCTACTAAGAAAAGCATGGTGCTGACATAAGAATAGTCATAAAAATCACTGGAATCAAATTGACTGTTGAGA